TCCCCAGACACGAAACGCAGACGCATCGCCAACCTTCCCCGTCCACCGCAAGGTGGGGGAGGTCTCTAGCAAAGAGACCTGGGGCTGAAGGTTGATCTGATGCGCTGCGTACTAAACCGCAAACGGCCACAGAAAATGGGGAGCAGCCGCATGGATCAAGGACGTACGAGCGACGTCGATGACCATGCCAATGCGGCACTCAGCAATCCCATTTTGCTGTGGAGAGGCCGGAAGTGTGAAGGTCTGCGGATGCCCTGTGCACGACAGAAGGCTCCCAGAAGGGCAGAGGAAAACTCCCCGCCTCTGTCAGAGTGCAGACGCAGAACAGGAAAGTCCGAGCCGAAACTCTCTCTGAGCTGGAGACGAGCTGCGCGGATCCAGTCGATCAACACCTCAGTGACGTCACCCTTGCTGCGCAAGGGGAACACCGTGGTGTAACGCGAGTAGTCGTCAACTACCAACAGGAAGTAACGCTCGTGACCCTGGCCACGGACGCGGGCAGGGCCCCACACGTCCATGTGAAGAGTCTGCAGCGGAGCCTCTGTCGGAGGAAACTCGGAGGAGTGAGGGGCGGCGCGCTGCCGCCCCTTGAGGCAGGGAGCGCAAGTAGGGGCAGGCCCCGAAGGGAGGAGAGGGAGAGACCGGGGGAGACAAGAGACAAGGACACGGGAGGCCATGCCTCGGAGACGAGGCAGGGAGGGGTGACCAAGGCGATGGTGCCAGAGGAGAGTCTGGTGAGACAGGAGACGACACGAGCAGGGACCAGACCTGGACGTCGCAGCAGACGCCTGACCCGACGCAGCTAGCTGACCAGACGCAGTAGACTGAGGAGGACCAGTAGTCAGTGTGTACAGGCTCGACCCCGGTCGACGGGTAAACGTGGCCAAGTGTCGGCCTGTCCGAGCACACGTGCAGTGGGTCACTCGCTGACTCGCAGGAGTGAACTGGTGAACCCCTCCATCCTGTAGATCTGCACCACTCACCAAGTTCCTAGAGAACGAGGGGAGGTAAAGACCTGACAGGGTGCCAGAGGGGGCCGCCGGACACGGTAAGACAGTGGAGAAGAGGGCAAGGACAGGACCCCCGGAGGGGTCTGCCAAGGAGACCGCCACTGGCCGACTAAGCGGCGTGAGTGTGGTGCGGTCTCGAAAGAAGGAGCGGGAAGCACCCGAGTCAAGGGTGAAGGTGTGGGAGGCCTGAGCCGACGTGGTACCTGAGAGAGCAGACTCACCAGCACCTAGAGCAGCAGCCTCACCAGCACCTAGAGCAGCAGTCCCAATGCCCGGGTCAGGCGGAACACACAAGTAACAGTCGCCCTCATCACTAGCAGACACAGCATACATGGCAGCAAGTATAGCATCATAGTCAAGATCAAAGATAGCGACCCCCGCCCTAGACAGCTCTCCCCAGCGAGGGATCTCAGTGGCGTCAGGGAACTGGTGACGCCAAGCGTCCGTGAGGCGGCCGAAGCAGCGCTGGGTGGAGTGCGAGCCCCCTCACTTCTCACCAGCGCGGTCGCCGGTATTGAGGACGTAGGTACAGGGACCAGTACCCCCACATCGCTGACGCCCAGTGTACCACTCAGGAAGCTGCTGGGGGGACGGATCTCACGAGTGCACTGCTGCAGCTGGCGCGGACCACCACCGGAGCCACTCCTCTGCGCAGAGCCGCGACCAGCTCCACCACTGCCGCCGCCGCCTCCGCCACCTCCGCCGCCTCTGCTCCCACCGCCACCGCCACCGCCTCCTCCGCCTCCACTACTGCCACCGACACCTCCACCCCCGCCACCACTCCCACCACCACCCCCACCCCCTCCACTGCCTCCACCGCCACCTCCACCGCCCCTGCCAGCCCCTCCAGCGCCCCTGCCCCCCTTGCCCTTGCCGGTGCGGCGTCTCCCGCTAGGGGCAGACGCAGCTCCGACCGACTCGAAGCCAACGAGGTCGGCCGCAGCAGCAGAAGCAACAGAGGGCAAGAGGGGGGAGGGGGAACACCCCTCAAAGATTTGGTTACGAGGGTCACCACGAGAGGCTCCTACAGCGACTATGCTCTTCTCTGCTGCCAGGAGACGCTCCTCGAGGAGGTTAACGGTGAGTGTGGTGGGGCAAACTGAGAGGAAGTGGTCCCTGACTAAGCGAAGGGAGTCAGGGAGCTGGGTGACTATGTAGTAGAGGGTGATGTACATGGGGGGAGGGTTCTTGGCACAGTACTCAGCAGGAAGCGCAGCGCGGTAGCGAGTGTCACTAGTGCGAAGGTGTGTAATGAGGTCAGCGACTGTGGGAAAGGCAGCAAGGTCAGGGAACAGGTACGGCAGTATGAGGCGGCTAAGAGCAGCAGTGGCAGGGGAAGAGTAGCGTGCAACTTCAGCGTCGTACAAGGTCTGAGCACTCTTGTACTGACTAGAGTGCGCACGCTCAGCGGTCGATATGTGGCGACGCACAGCAAGACGGGCAGCAGCATCGCGTGTGGCCCACTGTGAGCGAACAGTGCTATCAGCATCAGCAGGCGGGGCAGGGGAGGCACCAGAGGTGAGATCGAACAGGGATAGTCCGTTTGCCCTATCGCACTGTAGGAAGAGTTGTAGGTCATCAACCCAGACCTCGAAGTCAACAGCACGACCCTCAGCATCAAAGGTAAGGACACTGGGGGTAGCCATGACAGCAGTGGTCTAGCATGGAGTGCTCTCACCAGTCCGGGTGGGTAGGGCTGGGGCGCGTCGGTAGGAACAGGGCTGCAACCGCGGTGGCAGCGGCTCGGCAGTGGCAGTAGTGGCTCGACGGCGGCTCGGCGGCAGCGGCTCGGTAGTGGCGGCTCGACGGCGGCCTCGGCGGCTTGGCTGCTTGGCGGCTCGGCGGCTCGGCGGCTCGGTGGCTCGGCAGTTCGGCGGCTCGGCGGCTCGGCGGTTCGGCTGCTTGGCGGCTCGGTGGCTCGGCGGTGAAGGGGCCGGGGAGGGGCCGCAAGGGTCGGCGACGGGGCCGCTACGGGCGGCGACGAGGCCGCAAGAGGGCGGCACTGGGGCCGCAAGAGGGCGGCGACGCGGCCGCGAGAGGGCGGCACTGGGGCCGCGAGAGGGCGGCGACGAGGCCGCGAGGAGCGGCTGCAGGGCCGCGACGGGCGGCGACGCTGCCGCTAAGGGCGGCGGCGGGGCCGTGAACGGCGGCCACGGAGTCGTGAGAGGGCGGCGACGGGGCCGTGGAGGTGGGGCCACAAGGGGCCGCTGAGGGCGGCGCGACGGGCCGCTCAGGGCGGCGCGACGGGCCGCTAGGGGGCGGCGACGGGGTCGCGAGGGGCCGTGAGAGGGGGGGCCGCTAAGGGCGGCGCGACGGGTCGCTAAGAGGAGGGCGGCACACAGGGCGCGCCTCGGTCAGGGGCGACTCGATCTCAGGGCAGAAAAAAAAAAAAAAAAAACTCGATTTTCAGTGGTGGGCCCTAGGAAAAGTTCCCACTAGGGAACGTGCTCTATACCATGTGAAGAAATGAGGAATGAATGAACTAGCAAGCAGGTGGGTACAAGTAGGAAAACCTAAAAGTGTTGTACCCCATATTGTCTACCCCACTATAGCCTTCACAGACTATAGCCTATGAGTTTGACAGTATGAGATAGTGGGGAATGGAACTTTGGATGCGATTTCTTTTGAAGGGATTTTTTTTTTTTTAATAGAAGGCGTTCCACTATATCAAGGATACAGCGAATACAACCACAGTCGTAACTGTTTCAAAAGGGGGGACAGATGCACACGGTGTCATGAGTCACCCCCATCAACATCTACGGTGGCTTAAATCTAGCTCTCCTCTTCATCCAACCACGTGCTGACATGAAATCCTCTCGCCACATAAGCTTGTTGCCTAACCGCGTGCTGATGTTCTCCAGTGCCATGATCTCGTCTCTCGCCAGGTGTTTCTTGGCCACGTGTTGCTTTTTCGCCCAAGCTTTTTTCCTCTTGATGCCCTCGTAGGTCCGCGCATGCAAGCAGAAAGCAGTCGCAATCCTCCGCATCACCTTTCCGCACCGGAGTTTCTTTCCTCTGAAGACCGCGTGGCAACGCGCCACCCATAATTGGTGAAACGTGATTGCTGACACCGTCAGCTCCGGGAAATCGGAGGATGTGCCCCCCCGCTGAAACATCAGATCCCCCAACGATTTCACTTTCATCGATAGGTTTAGCCAGCGGATGGCACCGATCAGCGCTTGCACCACCGGCTGGATAACCCGACAGGAGAATAGCGCGTGGTCCACCGTTTCCGCCTCCCCACAATGTGGGCATTTCACCCGCTCCCCCAGGAATCTTAGACGGTCCCCCACTTGCAAGTTGGAATAGTGCGCGCGCAGCAGGACATCCCGAGCTTTTGCGGGGATGACATGCGAGCCCCTACGCGCAATTGTCTTTTCGCAATTGATTCGCTTCCCCGACTTCTCTCCCATTTCTCTTGACGGACGTGCTGCCCCACATGTTCCTCCTCCAGCTCTGCTCTCAGCTGCCTCAGGGAGGCGACGATGTCTCCCACACAGAGGTCTGTTCCCAACAGCCTAACGCGAGGGTCACCCAGCTCCCCTGCCACCTTCTCTCCCGCCATTGCAAGCGGCGTGACTGCAGACACCGATAGTAGGCAGGTACTCGCTCCCTCTGGCACGAACCAGGACGCTCCGTCATCTCGCCGCCACATCTTTGCACATCTTAACATGTTGCCACACACCTCAGTTATCCACCACAGTTGTTCTCGGCGGCCCACAGCGCGAACCACCCTCGTTGCCTCTTGAATCCGCTCGCCCCGAGCTTTTTCAAGACCCGAGCCTTCCATTCGAACGGTATTGCCTCAAACACAACTGCTGCTAGCGCCGCTGCCTCTTTGCTGCCCAACAAACGCGCTAGCTGATCCGGAAATTTAGGACTCTTAGTGCCATCCACCCACTTCATCACCAGGTCCCCCACGGTGATGTTGCGCAAGCATCCGTCCTCCTTCCTTCTCCCAAAAGGGCAACTCTCACCCCGTAGTATGTGTCACTTGAGAACAACCTGCTCCTTCTCCACATCCCATCTGGTTTTGCTTGGCAGGTCGCGGGCGATAGGGGACGCCATCACTACGGCCGCAATCGCCTTCCATCGCTCACTCCTCCCCCCCCCCCACGCCTTGAGCAGGGCCTCATGCGCATAGAATGACACGTAGCCGAGAGGGAGGCGTGCCGCCTTCTCCACTAGGGTTCTCCTTAGGGAGGACTCCTCAATCAGGAGCCCGCCTGCCGAGCGTCGAGCCGGTTTTGGAGGTTGATTACCCCCAGCCCCCCATCACTCCTCATCTACATTAGCTCCGCGCTCCACAGTATGAAACCGGGCCCCACACTCGCCCTTCCTCCAGACACGAAAGCGTGACACAGCCTCCGGAGCTCCTCCCATATGGTGTCCGGTGGGGGATACACCTGCGCCTGAAAAGGCGCAATGGGCATGACGTACGCATTGATCACCGCTACACGTGCTGTCTTAGTAAGATATTTCTCTTCCCGTTTCTTAAGCTCCGTCTCCATCCTCCGCAGTGCCTTTTTCCACGATGGCTTTGCGTCCCCTCCCGATGTGATCCATACCCCTAGCAGGCGCTCAGGCTCATCCCCCGCCGTCCATTTGAAGGGAGAGACCGGCAGCGGCGGCTCATCCCGCTGTCTTCCGAGTGGCATCACCACAGTTTTGTCACAGTTTGCCTCCAGCCCCGACATCTGCTCGAAGTCCCGGAGCAGCTTTTCCGCCATGCCAAGCTGCGTTCGCCCTTTCAGCAGAAAGGTAGTATCGTCTGCGTAGCCCAGGTACGTTAGCTTCCCTGCCCCGTAATGTCCACACCGAGATGCCTTCTTTGCGCTTCCTGACAGAGAGGCTCCACAGCACAAACGAATAGGTACGGCGCGAGAGGACAGCCTTGCCTCACGTTGGTCTGCACTGGCACTTCGTCCCCGAGCCAGCCATCATTGCAGATGCGTGTTGCCGCCCCTTGGTGCAGGCCCTCAACCCACTTCATGTACTCATCCGGGAACCCCATTCTCCTCAGCACTTCGAACAGGTACCCCCTGGAAACGGAATCGAACGCCTTCCTGAAGTCTACCAGCAGATGCAGCCAATCCTCTCCCCCGGAGTTGGCCACGTCGATTGCATCCACTGCAATCGCCACTTCACCAGTGTGAGAGTACGACGGCTTTGCTGGACTTTACTTGCTTGATTCTAATATATTACGCATTATCTAGCTTAGCTTTATTTTGCTTTGCTTGCTTATGCTTGATTTCCTAGGTTAGGTGCATTCCTATATGTCATTATAGTTATAGCACCGAACCAGGTTACGTGTACCGAACTCAAGCCTTTTCAGTTCCCACTAAATTGCTTTCTACTGAGTTTGGGAAGGTTCTTTTTGGGACTCTTCGCGACCCTCAGAACATTCGCGTAACACCTGGGTAACTGGCCTCGTGTCGAGCCTATATATAGCCTCGCCTTGTACCCAGGTGATTCATTCAATAGAATCATCTTTCCTGAACCAGATCCTTACAACCAGCCAGGTTCCACCCAGGTAGAAATCCAAACTGCCCCGTAGACACTACCTTCTCGAGCATTTGCTTTATCCTGTTCGCCAGAATCTTTGCCACAAGCTTGTATGCCGTGCTTAACAGGGTGATCGGGCGATAATTCTGCAGATCCTCCTTGTCCCCCTTTTTGTGCAGAAGCACCGTCACCGCTGACGAAAATTCTGCCGGCAGCGCCGCCGTCCGCTCAAACTCCTTCAAGAACTTCGTCATCTGCCCGACCAGAAGGTCTCATTACGACTCCTAGAGCTCCTTTGGGAGACCGTCTCTCCCTGGGGTTTTACCAGTCGCCATTTCCGCCAGCGCCCACTTGATTTCCTCCTCCTCCCATGGTGCGCGTAGCGCCGTTGCATCCTCCGATGGGAAGCTTCTCTCCAGTTTGAAGTCCACCGGTAAGCCCCCCGGCCCTGCCTTAGCTGTAAACAGGTCCAGGTAAAACTCGGATGCCGCTTTAAGAGCTTCCTTCGCCCCCGTGTGCTGCTTCCCCTGATAGTTCACCGCCTCTAGCCTTGTCTTCGCCTTCCTCGCCTTGGTTTTCCCAGACAAGATCCCGGTGGGAGCCTCGCCGTTCATCTCCACCTTGATGCCCGCCTGCTCTTGCATTTTCTGAAGCCTCCCATTCTCATACGCCTTGATCTTAGCCTCGCATTTCACCAGCCTCGCCTTCGTTCTTGTGCACCGTGGCCTTCTCATCACTTTCTGTCTCAGCTCCCCCACCTCCCGTTCCAGGTGCACCGTTGTGGCTGCTACCCGCTTCCTTTCCTCCACCGTGTACGCCTTGAGTCCGACCTTGAGGGAGTTCGTGAGAGCCTCCTGATTGTGATAATGAACGAGAATGAGATTGACTATGGGAGGTTGGGTACAAGTACAAACCCTAGAAAATGTGTACCCCATATGTACTACCCCACTATAGCCTACAACAACTAAGGCATATAAATCTGACACACCCCATAGGCAAAGTGGGGGAGAACAAGGGGTCACAAGACCAGTCAAGCAAAGCAAAGCAAGCTCAGGGTGGATCACAACGTCACCACACATTCTGAGCACAAGTTCAAAGGCCACAAGGCTAGTTCACATCCAAGACTACATATATATAATGCTAAACAAATAAGAGCCGGCATATATATATATGTAACAGTACAGACAAGGTCAAGCAGTGAGCAAGTGAGGCAAGGTAGGCACAAGACCTAACAGAGTACAGAAGCGATGATGATCACAAGGCGCGAGTGCCTTGGTGAAGATATCAGCAGTGTTAGCCTGAGAGGCCACGTAAGCAAGGCGCAGCTGACCACGCTGCTGCAGCTCACGAGCGAGGAAGTAGCGAAGAGCGATGTGCTTCGTTCTGTGCTCCAGTCTGTGCTCTCGACACCAGGCCAGCATGGCCTTGTTGTCTACGTAAAGAACTGGAGGAGAACGAGGCGGCTCTCCAAGGTCAGTCAGCAGGTAGGTGAGCCAGCGCAGCTCCTGTGCAACCATAGCCCTGGCGTAGATCTCGGCCTCATAGCTGGAGCCGAGAACAGAAGACGAGCGGGTAGACCGCCACGAAACAGAGCCGCAACCAAGGCTGAAGGTGTAACCCTGTGACGACCGCTGCGTAGCCTTGTCGTCAGCCCAAGAAGCGTCTGCATGATCTGTGAGGACCACTGGACTCTGCCCTCCAAGCACAAGCCCCATGCCTGACGTACTGCACAAGTAGCGCAACACCCTCTTCGCTGCAGCCATGTGCTCCGGTCTGTGTCTCCCAGGAGCAACATGGCGTGCGAGAATGCTAAGAGGGTATGCAAGGTCAGGTCGAGTGCAGGTCATCAGGTACATGAGGCAGCCAACAAGCTCTGGGTACGGGCCACTCGACTCTACGGACTCATCCGAAGGCAGAGCTGAGAGCGAGTGGCGAGTAGGCAGAGGAGTGGCCTGAGGCGAGGAGTACGTGAAGCCGAAGCGCTGAAGGACCTACTACACCATGTGTGACTGAGTCAGGGTAATGGTGCGGCGTGCTCTGTCCCGGGTGATCTGCAAGCCAAGGTAGCTGCGCACTTCACCCAGGTCTGTGCACGTGTATCTCTTCTGCAGCTCAGACTTCACATGGGCGAGTCCAGCAGTGTCAGCTGTGGCAAAGACCAAGTCGTCGACGTACACGAGGATGTAGAACGGCGGCAAAGAAGTGTCGGTGCGCAGAAACAGCGACGGGTCGGCAGTAGAGGGAGCAAACCCAAGAGCCGCAAGTGTAGTCCTCAGTGTGTCGTGCCACTCACGCGGTGCCTGGCGGAGACCGTAGACTGGCCGCCGGAGGCTCCACTGGGTGCCAGGAGGAAAAGACCCAGTGAAGCCAGGTGGGCGGCGCAGCTAGATCTCCTTGTGCAGGCTGCCCTGCACGAAAGCTGTGCTGAAGTCAAGAGAGTGAAGCTCGTAGTCACGGTGAGCAGCTATGTGCAGCAGTACCCGAAGAGTGGTCATCTTCGAGGTGGGAGAGAAGGTCTGAAAGTAGTCAACTCCCTGTCGCTGACTGAAGCCACGAGCCACGTAACGCGCCTTGAAGACAGGCGGAGAACCCGGCGGCCGCTTCACCCTGAAAATCCACATGCCACTGACGATGTTCGCCCCAAGGAGGGGAACCACGTCAACGTAGGTGCCTGTGGACTTCCAGGAAGCCATCTCTGCGTCCATAGCTGCCTGCCACTGAGAGGAGTAGGGACCCTCTATCGCCTCCACGTAAGAGCGCGGAGTCGGGATGTCAAGTGCATCCGGGTCTCCCTCAGGGGTAAGCAGTACGGACACGAGATGAGGTGAAGCAGCAGCCGGACACTGGAACTCCTCCTGCCTGTCCTCAAGGACGTCCGTGCCAAGGGCACACTCACCCCCGACGGACGGAGGACAGACAGACTCAGACTCAGCAACAAGATTGGCGGCGTAGTCTAGGCGACAGCGAGCAGCAAAGTCGACGAGCTCAGCAACTAGGGCAGACGCAGCAGTGGACTCAAAGGAAGGGTCAGTGACAACAGTAGCAAGGAGACGCGTGACAGTAGGACTGGCAGCACGAAGAGAGTCCGACTCCGGGTCGGCAAGAGCAGGAAGAGAAGACTCAGGAGGAGAAGGTACAAGTACAAACCCTAGAAAATGTGTACCCCACATGTACTAGCCCACTATAGCCTACAACAACTAAGGCATATAAATCTGACACTGATCACCCCCCCTCTCCTCGTTTCTCCGTGCTATTTGTGAAATCCTCTTCTGTACCCCAGGCCGCGCCACTTGGGATGCCGGAAGTCTCCACAAGCCTGGGCCAGCGTCCCAGTCCATCCCCGCGCTCAGCTTCATATGGACTGCGGACCAGTGATCAATGAACCGCTTGACAGGTCCCACTTGCCACACCTCATGGACCATATGCAGCATTGACTGTGAGACCAGGATGCGGTCTATCCTCGTGCTCTCCTGCATCGCCGCCGCGTAGAAGGTATACTCCCGCAGGCATGGGTGAATTGTCTGAAAAGTGTCTCTCATGTCAAATCTGCCGCAGACCGCCATGAGACTGTCATTCTCCCCTCTCGATCCAACCCCTGATGTTTTGTCAAACGCTGGGTCCTCTTACGATGTTCAGGTCTCTTGCAAGCACCACGTGGCTCCCACCGGGGATCGCCGCGACAAACGGCTGAAGCACGTCCTTGAAGTGCGGGCCCCTCGCCGTCGGGTTCGACGGGAAATAGGCTGCTATGACCACTACCTCTACCCTTCTCCATAATAGCGTCACCCGCACCAAACGGCCAGAGCCAACCTTGACCGGATCTGTGAGAGTTACTTCAGGATTCCGTGATATGATGGCCACCCCTCCTGCTCTAGCAGCAGGTGAGACTGCAACGACCGAGACCGCTTGTATGTGAGTCCAAAAACTATGGTCCTCTTTAATCCTAGTGTCTGCAAGAATGAGAATCTGCGCTGCCTTCGCCATCCATTCATGAGTGTCATGCTGCTTCTGGAAACAACCAAGTCCGTTAACGCTCAACACGCTGAATGAGAGGGTGGTATGTTTACCCATCTGGAACCTGTGACAGGCCTCAAAGCATCCACGGGTCGGAGGTGAGACTGTAGTTGCCAGGTGAAATCATCGTGTATATACTCCATGACATTACAGAGACTGCATCACCGCCTAACTAGTACCATGCTACTTCCTCCCCTCCCAACAGCTGATGCGACATCACTTTGGCTTTGCCCCATCGGCGCGAATACCAAACACCTTCTTCACCGCCTGCAATTTCTGCTTTGCCTTGCTCGCACGGGTTGCAACCCCGGCCGTTCCTATTGCAGATGCATGGCGGAAGGAGCCGATGTGTGCTGCCGCCTACTCGAAGGTCTCTCCGTGGGCATGGTCGCAGCACTCCTGGACGCACAGCCACTCCTTCGCGCTGGACCCAGTCGAAATCAGGACTAAAGCGGGATCCCGAAGAAGCTTCCTAACCACCCCTGCTGCCTTGAGGGAGGCCGCTGCAGAGCACACGCATCACCACTCCGTCAGTATAAAGGAAGGTAAGGATAAACTAGCAGCGCAAACCCCGCCGTGCCGGTGAGACCCCCACCCCATTACTGTTAAGCGCATGGACCATGCCTAAGGACCATTTGGCGATGCTGCTTTTATGCTCAACCACATACTCATCATGCAAATTATCCATGTGCTATCCCTGGCAGAGGGCACAAGATAGAGATGGAAAGTGCACAAGGTAGTGCTTGTCAACGAGCGGGTCCTCCACCATGTGACGCTAGCGGTAAGTGTCCCCAGGGTGCGGAACCACCACGCCCCGAATCTTGTCCGTCCCCAGCCTGGAAACCGGATCAATCACACGGTGGAAGCCCGCGCCTTGCAGGAACGCCGACCGCCCGCATTTCTGCAGCTTGTGGACCGCCAGCGACTCATAAACGATCATCGGCGTGATTTCCACCGGCACACCATTGAGAAGCACCTCTACTCCTTCCGGCATGTCAGCCTTCGCCTTCAAGAAGCTGCTGTTGATCGGGTGTTGCCAGCCGAATGAGTAGCGGGTCTTGCCATTCGCACCCACGTGATCCACCAAATGACAGCGAACCACTTTCGCATCAACAAGGGAGGCGAACGTGACCTGCAGCCGACTATAGCGGACCCACGACAGCCACGCCGGAAGCAGCTCCTGGCACGTGAGCGCACTTAACGCATCCTCCGACACCAGAAGCGTCTTCCTTGGGTACACCAGAAGCGCACGCACTGATGCTTTCGCCGCGCGAACCTCCGAAGCAAGCGTATGCGGGATCAATAGCGTCAGCATGACCCGCACCTATGATGCAAGCAAGCCCTTCGCCTGCAGTTCGATCCCCTCATCTGAGTCATCACTCAAATATCCGTCATCCTCATCTTCCTCCTCACTCATTTGCGCAGGAAGCTCCGAACGGCGAGATCCAGAAGGATCTTGCAGATCAGCCGAAGTCACAACGGGAGCACCATGATTCGGCGCAGACGCAGAGACCACTGGCGCGTCCTGAGCCGCGACGACCGCAGGAGCAGATGCAGCCTCATCAGCGACGACTTCATGTTCAGGCACCGGCACCTGCGGTTCCTCAATGGGCGTCATCGTAGCAGCGGCCTTGGTAGTTCTGCCGTTTGGAGGCATACTGGGAAGTCGGGAACTTGGTAGATGCTTAGAAGCGATGTTGACGACCTTTCCCAGTCTCCTTAAGTAGCCAGATTGTTACTTCCTGAACTTCCATTCCCAAGGTTGAGGTTGTTGAAGCCTTAGCCAAGGCGACGCTGTTCCTTGGGTATTGATGGCGAAAGCAATCTGGCTCGCCCTGTGAATGTTGGACCACACCATCGGCGTACCAGTAGGAGACGTACAGCAGATACCTAGATTCCATAGCGATAACTCTGACTCAGCAAATGCAATGTCTATGCTAAGCAGACGAGGAGCGCGAAGCCTTAGTGAACTGACAAGCCCTTGGGTTGACAATGACTGTTTGCCTGGTACTCGATAAGCGTGAAGGATACCCGCATTGTGCGTACAATTTGTAAGTCCGCTTATAGAGGGCGCCAAGCTGCATCAAATGGTGTAGTCATTGTTAAAAAATGTTATAGACACAGTAGGCTCCAATGTGCCTAAAACAAAAGATGAGTGCAGAGTCGAATTTCTCCACTACGACTTTAAATGTTCATAGCGTTCTGGTCACCGTTTCAAATGACCTGATTCAACTTGGATCTGAAGCGTCTTAAAGTCGCCTACAATAGGCAATTTAGATCGCACAATTTCACCAAGAATTGACGACACAGCGCCGGTTTGAACGAAATGGCACTATGGCAGCCACTATAATCTAAGAACACACAATAGAAAGGGTTACGAGTTGGGAATGACTCCCAGCTCCTACAAACCCCAAGAGTCGAGGTATAGTGATGTGGAACAGTGCCACACTGCCCCAAACAGGAAGGGTCTCGAAACTACCCATGTTATGAATGAGCTTGCAGAGTGCGCAGAATATCAAATAACGAGAATGATCAAGTTCTGAATTACTGAATCCCTGAATGACGATACAATGGAAGTGACGAGGCCTAAATAGGGGAAGTCCTAGCTAGGCGGAGAGGTTGGGCGAGGATGGCTCGGTGATGGTTGCGATTGGTGCGGAGGCGACTCGGGAGTGGTTCGGTGCGACGAAATAGGAAGGACAGGTTCGTCGCGTGACCCTCGGGATGGCCTCGCTAACGAGTGCCTCAGTAAGGATTCTGTAAATCCTTACAACCCACCACAAGGGCCTACACCAACTGAAATGTTACACTACACAAAGTAATGTAACTATTTGCATTATCTTTAGGTGTACCCTTTTGCGGGCTTCGAGATCACTTGTGTCTTGAAACCAAGGCCCGGGTTCTTCATCACAAACTCGTCCTTGAGTTCTTGATGATCTGTTGCACACACCTTCGACACGCCGAACGTTCGACACACGACAAAAGATAAACCGCGCACAGGACATGCTGATGTAACCAAGGATCCAGTGGATAGGATAGAATCTGTTAAGTCTGAGAGGAGACAATGAAGTCTCTGTAGTGACCTTGTTGGATAATAATTGAAGGAGAACAAGATAGTTGAAAGATAGGAGTACAAGAGATAAAATAGAAAGTTAGCTAGCCATGTACTCTGAGGGGTACATTCCCTTATTAACTGTATTGCATAGCTACAGTGACCGTGACTATTGCTATGCTCGACAGTTACCATGTTGCAGTGAATTAACTGTCACGCGGTTACTGGATTGTCAAGGGTCACGACCGTTGACTTTCTCAGACGGTTGACCTTCGGGTGACTCTCGAAATTTCGCATGCTCTATATGAGCTATTGCGGTACTGGTACAGTGGAACAGCTTCGGGAATGCTTTATATAACCTTTCGGTTATTCCAACACTCCCCTTCATTCCTGAAGGTGGGCCACGTGGGATTTCTTGGTGATCCCGCAGAGGTCGGCGCAGCGTTGGTACTGCTGACGTGGTAGCTTCTTCGTTAAGAAGTCAGCTGCCATGTCACCGGTTGGGCAGTACGTCAGCTTGATTTTCCCTTTGTCGATTTCATCCTTCACGAAGAAGTAGCGAAGGGCGATATGCTTGGTGCGGTTGACGAAGCCGGGCTTGTTCGCGATCTTTATCGCGCTCTGATTGTCGCAGAGTAACGAGAAGTACCCGTTCATCGTCACTTTCGCCTCTTGCAGGAGCTCCATCAGGTACAGTCCTTCACGAACAGCTGCGCTAGCTGCGATGAATTCTGCTTCTGCTGACGAAAGAGCGATGAGTTACTGCTTCTGAGAGTTCCAGGAGATGAGTCCCGCTGGTTGGAGTTGGAAAATGAATCCTGTGCGGGAGCGTCGGTTGTCAACATCTCCAGCGTGGTCGGCATCTACGTAGCCATGGAGCTGCAGAGTGGCAGTGAGGTTAGCTTCGTAAGTGAGACCAACGTCGGGAGTGGAGATGAAGTACTGTAGTGCTCGGCGTAGATCCAGTAGATTCTCCCCTTCAGGTCGCTTCAAGTACTGTGCGAGCTGGCTTGCGACGTAGGAGAGATCGGGCCGGCACGTGACGGCGGCGAACAGTAGACATCCCAGCTGGTGCTGATAGAGACGATGGTTGTCGGGAGAGAGCGGTGTGGTGACTGGCTCGTGGTTAGGAGGAGGAGTGCAATAGGGGGTAGTGAGGTTGATTGGTGCGATGGAGAAGCGCTTCGCGAGTGTTTCGGCGTACTTGGCGGCGGAGAGCTGAATGGAGGAGGCGGACTGAGTCACATTGAGGCCGAGAAACTGGGTGACGTTGTGATTGATTGTCACCTCCAGTTTCTCTTTGATGTCGGCCTCAAACTGGTCCAGCAGCTCCGTGTCGTCGCCGGTGTAGAGAAGGTCGTCGACGTAGGCGACGAGTAGTATGAATTTTCCGCGCGATTCCCGTCTGTACATTCCGAGGTCATGCGGCGGCTGAGTGAAGCCGAGCTCAAGGAGGACGGAATGGAGGTACTGCTGCCATAGACGAGGCGCCTGCTTGATTCTGTAGAGGGATTTTTGGAGGAGGCACACGGCGCCATCATTTTCTTCGAATGCGTGCGGCTGCTCGACGAAGATGATGGCATCGACTGGAGCGTAGAGGAAGGCACTTCCGACGTCGATTTGCCGGAGCGGTCGCTGTTTGACGGCGGCGATGCATATGAGAATGCGTACCGAGGTGTGGCGGCCGACTGGAGCGTAGGTGAGAGTGAAATTCACCAGGTGTGTTTGCTCAAATCATCGCACTACCCAACGCGCCTTGTACTTGTCGACCGAGCCATCTGCGAGAGTTTTGATACGAAAAACCCATTTGCCGCTGAGAATTTTTCTCCCCTTTGCCGATGACCAAGGGACCAACTTCCAGGTGCCATGATTCTTCAGTGATGCAATTTCGGCGGCCATGGCTGCTTTCCATTTTACATTGTTGCGGCCAGAAAGGGCTTGGTGGACGGTGGTTGGTTCCTTGGGCGAAGTGTAGCGAACAGCGACGGCGAGGCTGAGAACGCGGAGACCGGTTTCGTCAGTCTTTTTGTAGTGAAGTCGGTCATAGTCGTGGAAGCTGGTAACTTCGACCACGTCGTCATCGCTGTCGTTGCTGAGGCGGAGGGTATCCTGCGACATGTTGGGTTGTGGTAACTCGGCATCAGGTGATCGGGGCGCCTCACTGTTGTAGTCATGAGCCGCGCGAGTTGTATCGTTAGGATCAAGTTGGTGTAGAGGTACGAATATCGGAGTCCCGAATAGGCTTGTGAGGGGGATGCTCGGAGCTGAGTCCATTGGGGTGACATCAGGTGCGTCTGCATCCTCGGCCAGGTCAGCTTCGTCGTGTGACGTGGCGAAGCTGCGGTGGCCCTCGAAGAGCCTCTCGGGAAGTTTGTCGGCTTCCTGGTGCTCCTTAAAAAGGGGCAGAGTCAGCTTCTCGTAGAAGATGCAATCACGTGATTTTGTCACCTCGTGTGTCGCGTAGTCCAGAACGATCCACGCCTTGAATTCCTTCTCGATCCCGAGGTGGATGCCCCATCGTGCCCGGTCAGCAAATTTTCCGGTTCTCGCAGTGTGGGGTCTATACTGTACCATGCAGCCAAACACCCGAAGCAATCGTGTATCTGCTTTTCTGCCCGTCCATGCCCGGTAGGGAGAGTTGTTGTTCTCAAGGCTTCGCGAGGACAGCAAGTTGTGCAGCCGAACAGCGTGATTCATCGCAAACGGCCAATATTTTGTTGGGATGGCCGACTGCTTCATCAGGGCCCTCATCCGCGTGGCGAGGCTTCTATTTGTCCGTTCTGCTACTCCTTGCTGTTGGTGAGCGTAGGGCAGGGACACCAGGTGCTCAATCCCCTTCTGCTTGAGGAGCTCCTTGAACTAGTCTGAGAAGAACTCCAGAGCTCCGTCCGTCTGCCAGGTTTTGAGTTTGAGACCGGACTGTTGCTGAGCCCGCTTCATCCACGCAATGAAGCACTCGAAGGCCAGAGACCTACTGTCGGTGTTGACGGCCCAGACGTAGCGAGTAGATGCGTCGATGAAGGTAAGTGTGTACTGCTCCACGTCGAGCCCCTCCTGGCTGAGCACCATAAAGTCGCTTTAAACTTTGTCTAGCGGCTTGTAGCGTTCATACCCTGGGGGCAAGTCGGGGAACGGCTGGTGATTGAGCGATGCGGTTGGGCAGACGGTGCACGGCGGGTTAGGTGAGTCCGCGGTAAGCGAACCGTTTCGAGAGAGAAGAAGCGCGTCGTTGTCGTCGGTGTCGCCGGCTTCGACTTGGTCTCCGGTAACGAGCAGGTATTGGTTGGGCCATTCCCGAACTGGGAGTCCCTTCACGGGGATTCTGAAGTAACTCTATTCAGCGCTGATGACCTCAATTTCTTGTGGTCCTTGGACGGGCGGCTCTGGCTCCTCGGTAGGTTTGGGTAACTCTGTTGGTTCTCCCATAAATTCGTAGGCTTCTTCTTCTTCTGACCCTTTTTCCCTTTGCTCGGGTGTATCAGGGGCGTATTGATCTGGGAGAGGTGGACCTCCCCAGCAGGTGCCGCGAGTTGCCTAGTATGGGTCGACGACGGCAACTTCCGCAGGAGGAAAGCCAGCTGCTTCCGCGTGCCTTTGTTTTGCTT